GTAAAATCCAAACCGGTTATTGTACAAATGATTATTTCACGATATTTCTTCAATTCTAGTTCACCTGGAAAGTTTTGAGCTAGACCATAACATTTGGGCCAGCCACAAGAATAGGCACAAATATTTAGAACATACTGTGAATTTCTAGATTCTAGAATGCTGGATTTCTAGAATATACAGGAATATACAGGAAGACAATGCAAAAGCAAAGAAACAATAATTTGAGCCAGTTTCAATCTGCATCTGTGTATTCTTGGTTTGAACAGCACCACCATCAGCATGCATTACACGGCGAATGCACAGTTCAAAACGTGAATCAGCACAACTCACAGTGAACACGTCTCAGCGCAGAAGCAAACTGCCACTCGGCCGTTTCGAGATCACAATTCTCCAATGCCTCGTCCCCTTGCCTTTCGTCACAAAAGAGCACAAGAAATTTAAAACCATGAAATGCGTTGATTTTTAACAGTCCAGAAGACATAACATAAGGGTTAAGTACCGTTGGACAAAATTTAACAACTATTTTGAGAAACAAAGTAATAATTCTGTTAATTCTTACTCAAACACATTCATATATATGGTCAGAGAGGAGTCTAAATACCTCCTGCCTTCTGCTATAAAATTGCAACATGATGTAATCCAACATTAGTTACCATGGTGATAGACGTCTGGTTCGGGTCATTGACCTTATTGGTTTGGAGAAGAAGAGGAAACAAAGCAAAAACAATATGTTTTCCTTCGGTAAACATAATACCTAATAGTATTTTACAATCGTACTCACATTATCATATCCTTAGCCTCTTTCACGTTTTCACGCCCTTTTGCTTCTCCCCGTGTCTGCATAGTCCTCATATCATTACGCTGTACATGTAAGGAATATATAGCAGCCATTAGCGTGGAAGTTGATTCTGTTTTAGTAGAATCAATTACGTTATATCATAACCCATATACTGTTCTCGGTAGAATTCATTCTGTGGCAGGATTGAACTATAAGAGCTGCAAGAGATAAGAAGGAAGCCAAGTATTTATAGTTTTGTTAGCTCAGCTGCAGACAGAATATTGAAATGACACCAGGATTTCACCCCCTCTGTCCCTGTGGGTCAGTCCATCCAGTGAAGACGTACGCGTATCAGAGGTCAATTACAGGTCCAATCGTATATCATGACAAAGATCGCACATGGGCAGATTTTAAAGATATACATTCTCCTGTCCTTCTTACCAGAAAACTGGGCCTTTCTGAGCAAATTTGTCCAGGGTAAACAAAAATAAAAATAAATAATTATTTGAAGTGCCCTTTCTGTGCGCGCCGATTGACTGGTCCCTCCCCTGTCATACCAAGGTCACCGCCATCTTTGTTTCCAAGGTAGCAATGACGTCAGAGCCAAACACTGGCGGCGTCTATTGTTATTTACATTAGCCACCGGGTAACATCCGGGACCGAGGATCAATGAAAGAAAAATTCGTGTAGGGGCGTATAGACGGCCAATACATTCCGAATGCTCTGAATAATGAATGAATGTTGTACAAACAACACTGGGTTGAGTACAAAGGGATAGCTTGTGTATATATACATGTATACATGATCAAGCTAGCACTAGCGCTCTTAGTCTATTTACGTAAATTCGACTTCTCCCCGCTTCTCTATGATGGTGAAAATATAAAAGCATACATGTTTAAGAAACAGAGGATTATCTAAGTTCATAAGAAAAGTGAATTTGTCTGTATTATTATAGGCGTATAAAGTGGGGAAACATCGATGTTATCAGTCTATAAAGTTCAATTCTCTTACCCGTTTCACTACTTCCATGACCTTCTCCGCGTACTTAACCCGATGTGTTAGAACATCTTTCGCTTCTGGTTCCTCAAACCTTGTTGTGGCAGTTTCGTACATTCCCTTCGCTTTCGACAGCAGGTCCATACTGGAGCTGTTTTTCCCCTCTTCCAGGTACAGATCACCGAGGCTTTTCGTCACCTCGAGTTCCAACAAGGCGTCACTGTTCTCAATCGCTTCCACAAGCGCCTTGGTATATTCCTCTTCCAAGGAATAAACGTAACTCCGGTGTCTATTCTGGGCTTTGTCCAACTGCAAGCACCTTTCAACGACCTTCGTTATACTGTTTAAAGAGAAAGAAGAAGTAATATGTGGAACTTCCGCCTGTCCTGTGGTTTTCTCCTGTAGGACTCTATCTAATCTACAGGTGGGAAGATCTCTCTTAACAAGTGTCTCCAAATACCGAACACGGTGTCGGATCGTTACCCTGAGATCCGGATCCGTACATCGCAGACAGGCAGCCGTGTAAAGTGTTATAACCTTGTTAATTTCTTCAAAATCCCTCGCGAGTCTTTCTTTGTCAAGACGCAAGTCGCCGAGAGATTTGAGCGCCTCCCGGCCTCTAGACGCGAGTCCGTGTCGGCCATGGCGTCTCTCAGAGCTCTGCCGTACTCGCTCTCCGGACCGTCCCCCGTTTCCAGACGAAACTCCAGCTCTTGCAGTTTGTCCGCTAAAGTTCTCGCCATGTTGTTGGTTTACTCTTGTACGAATATATGTTGTGTAGGTGTGGTCTGCTCGTGTTCGACAGAAAATGAACCGACGAAACTAGCAAAATTATGGTGCTCTTCCGTCTGCCCTTAACACAAGTGTACTTCCGGGTCATGACGTCACAGGGTCATGTTTATGTTTCACCGGTGTTGAGCCAAATCCTTGAGCTGCCACATACGTGAGAGGTCTGGTGTTTAGGGTTAGGGTTAGGGTTAGGGTTAGAGGTAGGGTTAGGGTTGGGATCATTGTTCAGGGCTGCGGCTTACGAT